AGGTTTGATTCCTGTCGGAGGACGAATATTTTCTTGGACATTCAGGCCGGTAAATGTTGTTTAATACTGTTTATTATAAACAGAGCATTTATTTAAATATTTGTATCTATAAAAAGAATGTATGAACATAAAAATGTCTTAAAATAATTGTCGGACTTTGTCCATTTCATAATGCTTATATATATATATAATGCCTTTAAATTCCTTGAGGAACATAGGGCCGAAAGATATCATTGCGGTTTCTATAAGTTTTAAGTGTTTAGTCCACTGCCCAATCAAGTTTTGAATTGAGAGTTGCCCTCCTCGACTGGTATGTCCTGCTGTTTAGCCATAGCTGCGATGAGAAGAGGATTCATACATTTCCCAAAGTTATTAGCACGTAAGTGAATGTAATGGATTTGATTGGAATTCGAACTCGGCTCTCCGCTTCCTCAATCCGAGTCGCTATCCATTACTTCACCGCGTCTCCTGAAATAAGAAGATAGAAAACTAAAAGACATATTTGAAGGCAGACAAGCAAAGGTGGATACAACTAAACAGTAAAGAGAACTGCTTTTATTATTGTCAATTTTGGACTTTTTCCTCTTCTAAATGTAGGGTGAACTTTTTTTTTAAATTAAATTAAATTACTTTGGACAACCCATAAAAAAATCTGGTGATATAATTCTTGTTCTTTTCCACTTATTAAAATGAAAGGTGCCAATAATGGTGATTAAGACTTGATATGTTATTTTTAGTTTATACTTTTTATTCATTTGAATTATTTGTTTGGTTTTGTATATTTTTATATATTTTTGTATATTTAATCGTGTTTTTTTTTTTTTTAATAAGGTGTTGTGGCACATTGCCTGAAGATCTGGTTGAAGCAGGGAAGAGATAATCGCCATGCAGGATTAAAGCCTATGTCCACATGGTTTCTAGCATTAAACATTTTATCTCCAATATTGGGCTATCTTCCCTTATTAAAAAAAATACCAAATTTTTACAGTAAATACAAAAAATTTTAAAAAAAGAACAAAACACACACACACATAAAACAAACGAAAAACCACTTTCAAAAACAGTCGTCGGATTTGATAAGGTAATTTAATTTATCACTCTTTTTCTAAAAATTCCGAACGCAATTTCCTCAATCATAATTTCAATCTTTCCCGAGCAATCTCTACAAAGGTGGCAAAAGAACAAAAACGTAACGTTGATGAAGCTGTCTAGTCCTCACTTGCTACTCTTGATAGACTTTGAAAAACTCTTACGCGCTATTGTGGGTGATGAATTATATCAAAACTACAACCCTTTGCCCACTTACAAAACGTCTCAAGCCTCTGGCTACTCTGTCTTTTTATCAATGGCAAATATTCTGACAACCTCATGCAACAGTTCCACCAGTTGCAAAGTTCCCAGCGAAGACCGCACTCCATTTGTCCTCTAACACCGAGGCGAATCTTCTTCATTCCCTTCAAACTGGTACTAATAACGCTCTTGAAACAGTTATTCGAAAAACAATTATACAAGTTCTAATTTGTTTGAATGAAAATAAGTCGAAAGGACAATTATACTAAATGATAATTATTCGAAAAACAATTATACGAGTTCTAATTTGTTTGAATGAAAATAAGTCGAAAGGACAATTATACTAAATGATAATTATTCGAAAAACAATTATACGAGTTCTAATTTGTTTTAAATGAAAGTAAGTCGAAAGGACAATTATACTAAATGATAATTATTGATAAAAAAACAATTATACGAGTTCTAATTTGTTTGAATGAAAATAAGTCGAAAGGACAATTATACTAAATGATAATTATTCGAAAAACAATTATACGAGTACTAATTTGTTTGAATGAAAATAAGTCGAAAGAACAATTATACTAAATGATAATTATTCGAAAAACAATTATACGAGTTCTAATTTGTTTGAATGAAAATAAGTCGAAAGGACAATTATACTAAATAATTATTCGAAAAACAATTATACGAGTTCTAATTTGTTTAAATGAAAGTAAGTCGAAAGAACAATTATACTAAATGATAATTATTCGAAAAACAATTATACGAGTTCTAATTTGTTTGAATGAAAATAAGTCGAAAGGACAATTATACTAAATAATTATTCGAAAAACAATTATACGAGTTCTAATTTGTTTAAATGAAAGTAAGTCGAAAGGACAATTATACTAAATGATAATTATTCGAAAAACAATTATACGAGTTCTAATTTGTTTGAATGAAAATAAGTCGAAAGGACAATTATACTAAATGATAATTATTCGAAAAACAATTATACGAGTTCTAATTTGTTTGAATGAAAATAAGTCGAAAGGACAATTATACTAAATGATAATTATTCGAAAAACAATTATACGAGTTCTAATTTGTTTGAATGAAAATAAGTCGAAAGGACAATTATACTAAATGATAATTATTCGAAATACTTATGTTTGAAATACGTATGTAGTCTTGCTTTGAGAGAATCTATACTGATTTACCTAGAACTAATAACGCCCTTGAAGGATGGCATAGGGCTTTTTTGCAGCAAGTGTTATCCCATCATCCCACAATATGGAAATCCTTAGACGCACTTAAAAGAGAACAGAAGTTGCAAGAAATTCTTATTTCAAAAGTAAGAGCAGGTTGCCAAAATATCAAGAGCACCAAGAAATACCGCGACGTGAATGGAAAACTTTAAAAAATTAGTGGCATCCATTAACGAGTACTTTTTAGTAGTTGACTATTTGAGTGTAGTATCAGATAACTTAAGGTTATAATGATTTTATTTTAACTAAATAGTTTTATTAACGATGTTTGTATTTTGAATAATTATTATTTGTGTATTTCCTCTTTTAATGTAATAATGCCTGTCTTCGTCCATATTTGAGAAGATGTTAACTTGTGGTTGGATAATGATAACCTCACTGACTTTCCTCGATTAATTTAGTTTCGAATGTCTACCAACCTTTTTCATAACCAAAACATTACCAACATCAGTATGATCCTTTATACTGTCTTGCAGGATTCCTTGATTATTCCAAACACTTGAGTTCTTTCATGTTAACTTATTCTCTAGAAGTTCATGAATTCTAGCCTCTTTCCCAAAATAACTCCTGCTATTTTGAGAGTAAACAGCAACAATAACAAAAAGACATATTGATGGCTTCAAGCGTTTTAACGAGTATTCTTCAGGGCAGTATCATATAACTTAAGGTTATAAGGATTATTTCTTACTAAATTCTTTTATTGACGATAATTTCATTTCGAATAATCATCATTTAGTATAATTATACTTTCTAATAATTTTCATTCACACAATTTACAATTCGAATAAATGTTTTTCTAACAATTATTTTCGAACATTGTTCACATAATCGTCTATCTGAATTTCTTCTTATCCGTCTATTTCAGTCATTTTATATCTATATTAGCTTACTCTTTTCTATCTATCTATATATCTATCTATCTATCTATCTATCTATCTATCTAATCCTAATCTATTCCTATCTATCAATCTAACCCTAATCTATTCATATCTATCTATAAATCTAATTCTAATCTATCTATCTATCTATCTATCTATCTATCTATCTATCTATCTATCTATCTATCTAATCCTAATCTATTCATATCTCTCTATCTCTCTCTCTATCTATCTAATCTTAACCTATTCATATCTATCGAATTAATGTTTTTCAAACAAGTATTTTCGAACAATGTTCATATAATCTTCTGTCTCAATCTCTTCTTATCCATCTATTTTAGTCATTTTATATCTATATTACCTTACTCTTTTTTATCTATCTATCTATCTATCTATCTATCTATCTATCTATCTATCTATCTATCTATCTACCTAATCCTTATCTATTCATATCTATCTATCTATCTATCTAATTCTAATCTATTCATATCTATCAATCTATCTAATCCTAATCTATTCATCTATCTATCTATCTATCTATCTATCTATCTATCTATCTATCTATTTCATTCTTTATAGATATATCTCGCTAGCTGTCAGTCTGTTTCTCTCTTTTCTTGTCTATCATTCTGGTTTATTCTTACTTTTGCAATATGAATTTCTTTCAAGTCTTGTTCCCTTTTAGCGCCTCTAACAATTTCCATATTGTGAAATGATGGGATGAAAATTGTTTCAAAAATCCCTACGCTATCCTTTAAAGGTGTTATTCGTTCGAGGTAAATCAATATTTACTCACTGAAAGCAAGACCACATACGTATTTCAAACATAAGTATTTTAAATAATTATCATTTAATGTAATTGTTCTTTCGATTAATTTTAATTCAAACAATTTACAATTCGAATAAATATTTTTCGAATATTTTTTTTCGAACAATGTTCACATAATCTGCTAATCTCCAGCCGAGTAACTAATTCGGCCTTTTCACGTTTTTCACTGACGTGAAGCTGAAACATTATATTGAATCGGCTCCTTAGAAAATTGGTTCGCTGTGTCGTGCCAGGAACTCTTTTCTGGCTAGAATTCACCTTCTACAGTTATAAATTCACAATTCTTCCGTGTGTTGAATATTGAAGTCACATCGGGTTTTTAGTGCTGCTTTTAACAAAACTATTGCTATTATAATATGAGATATTAAAAGAAAATAAAACAAGCGGGATAAAATTGTTTGTAATTTTGACGGGTAGTTTGCATTGTCTCTTTGGGCTAATTTAGAAGTTTTAATCTTATTTTTAATGACAGATAGGAAATATTGAATACAAATGAGTACATCTGAGGCATATGTTAATAAAAAAAGAAATACAAGTTCCTGAAGAAACGTCTAAATTGTATGGCCTATGCATGCCGAGAAAAGTTCAATGCCAGACCATAAAAAACCAGGCAAGAAAAAAACGCCTCAACTAAAGATCTGGGCTTCTTATCAAGCGTAGGAACATGAACAGGCTCCTGGTGTGCCATTTAGACTCTAACTGAGATTAAAATAGATAAATACATTTTATATGCTGGGATTATAATTTCTTTCCTCAATGTATATTTGCACGAACTTTTTTATTCGTGGGTGGCGGCTACCTCGAGTTACGCCCCTTGGGATTACAGTCAGCACTCGTAAAGAATACTATAAGAAATTTTAAAGTCTTTTTGGCGGCAATTTTTTTTTAAAAAAACATTGATTTGGAAATTCTTGCAACAACCAAATAATTGTCGGACTTTAATGAAACATTCAGGACTTATTCACAAATGAATTAAATTATTTTTAAAATCGTTTTAGGAAATCTTGATAAAAAAATTTTTTTTCAATAACCCCGCCATGCCCTCAACTTAATTTTATGAAATTTCGAGAAAGTAAATTTCATCATCTTTATATTCGTATTAGTTAGAATCAGGACTATGTGGAGAATTCAAATCATTTTTTGTAAAACAGAAACACCATTTACCGAAATTCTGCCTAGCAACTTAAAAAAATGGAATGAAACTAAAACATTGTTTAATTAGAGAAGATTTTAATTATTTTTATAAATAAGGTATATTATGAACACTATTGTCTTCAGAAAACACATTTTTCGATGAAAAATAAATTCTTACAAGAATTGTTTCCATTCTTTTTAAAATTTTTATTACAATGGATTACGTTAATAATTCAAGTTTTAAATCTTTTAAAAATGCGTATTCATTTCAATCTTTTAGATGATTCTAGCAGCCACACCCAGATGGTCGATCAGAAAAAGCGTTCAATTAGAATGGAGCAAAAACAACATCATGTTTAAATGTAACAGAGTCTATCTTCTTCAATTACTTTAAAGTACTTTCATTAAAAGCATTTCGAATTAATGCAGTAACTGATATAACAGAAATAGTCTGTATTTATTCAATTGAAGTTAGAGGAGGACATGAAGGGGTAAAACAAGCAACAATGAAGACTCACTTATTTTGGAGTTTTTAAAATTCAATTTGTTAATGTGCTACCGGTTATGTAAAACGGATACATTTAGAAAGCAATTGTTAAGTTTGATGAAAATTGATTGAAAGTTCCACGAAAAATAAGAAAGAAAAAAGTAAAAATATATACGCGATTTTTCAACATATTGGTGACCTCATTTACCAAGTTAAATGATTTTAAACAGTCAACTTATTGTTGGATAAAACTGAGTGAAGTCTGTATAAGATTGCTTGAAAGGGAGTTTTTAGTTTGAAATTTGTGTTATAATCCATTTGTGTTGAAATAGATTTTTCGTTTTTCGCGTTTTTTCGCTAAACGCATTGACGTAGAAATAAAAATGAGGTATCGTTGAGCTCATCATGATGTAAGTAACCTACATACCGACTATGAACGAAATTGGAGAAAAAAACATTGAATTTATTGATTTTTGATTGGCTTTATCAATTATTGATTTTTTTTTTAATTTATCGATTTTTTTACGTTAAGAAACTATCCCTTAGATTGTACAATGTATGTGCTAAGTTTCGGCAAAATCTGTTGGATCGATCTCGAGTGAAAAAGTATCATACAAACAGCCCCTGTTTTATAAATATATCGATTTTCTAAGCGTTGCTTAGATGTGAAACAAAGCCGAAAGTGGGTGGCAGTCAGTGAGGATCGAACTCACTACTCAGTCTTAATTGTTCTAGCGAGACAATCTTGCTGACCATTACAACGCCTCGAGGTGCCTATGTTTTAAAAATATATAGATTAAGATTGTTGTGAAAATTATATTTACTGATCATAAGTTGAAAAGCTTAGTACAAATCATTAAACCCCTATATTTTTAAAAGAATTGTGTTTTGTATGTGTATAAATGTGTTCATTTTTGTAAATATGGAAGTCCCTAAACGATATGAGAAAATACGAGCGATAACTATAGTAAATTTAAAATCCAAATTTCTAAAATTTAATAAGATATTAGACTACGTAAAATATTTTCCTAAATTTTAAAGATTACTGCGTAGTTAAAAATTATATATAAAACGTCCTTACACAATAATCAATTACTTTTTACGGAAAAGGAGCTAATATTCCGTAAAAAAAAGTTTAGGAGAAGAATGTTTTATTTTTGGAAGATATTTTGATAGCGAGAATTGCATCGCAATAAGGAAGAGCTAAAAATGGCGTGAAAATAAAATTTGTTCTGAAAAAATTCCTTGCTGCCAATTTAAATTAGTTTTGAAATACAGTAAAGTATTTTGCTTAATAGAAATATTAAATTGGATCTATTAAAAATTTGAATTAAAAAAAAAATTGTAAACATAAGGTATGTTCCTCTTTCTCTCTCTCTGTCTATCTCTCTCTCTCTCTCTCTCGGTCTGTTGGTATCTATCTATCTACCTATCTATCTAAGGTTTGTTCCTCATTCTCTCTTTCTCTGTCTATCTCTCTTTCTCTCTCTCTCTATTTATCTCGGTCTATTCATATCTATCTATGTTCCTCTTTCTCTCTCTCTCTCTCTCTCTCTCGGTCTGTTGGTATCTATCTATCTATCTATCTACCTATCTATCTATCTAAGGTTTGTTCCTCATTCTCTCTCTCTCTGTCTATCTCTCTCTCTCTCTCTATTTATCTCGGTCTGTTCATATCTATCTATCTATCTATGTTCCTCTTTCTCTCTCTCTCTTCTCTCACTCGGTTGTTCGTATCTATCTATCTATCTATCTATCTTTCTATCTATCTATATATCTATATATATATATGTGTGTGTGAGTGTGTGTGTGTGTGTGGAAATATATAGAAAACTAGGAAAGAACTCGTTGTGGTAGTGAGGACTTCCACTAATTTTAAAATAGAGAAAATTAGAAAGATTACATATAGTAAATTTAGAAAACTAAATTTAAAATCAACAGTCTGTACAAAATTGAAAAGGGCAAATTTCCTCGACGTAACTCTGGATTTAATTAACAACATATACCTACCTTATAGAAAACCTAACACTAACCCCTTATATATACACCCTAAGTCAAACCATCCCCAAACCATAATTAAGCATATACCATCATCAATAGAGAATAGAATCATTAACTCCACTAATAAAGAAATATTCCAACAACACAGCAATTTTTATAAGGCAGCCCTAAAAAGTCGTGGATACAAAAATGCTAACATCAATTATAGAAACAATTGTACAAAAGAAAAATCATTTGATATACCCCTCCGTTCAACCAAATGGTTAGTATTAAGCTAGCTTTAATTGAAAAACACTTTCCTACAAATAGTAGACTTAGTAAAATCATTAATAAAAACACCCTAAAATTAAGTTACAATTGCACTGAAAATCTAGAAAGTATAATTAAAAAAACACAATAATAAAATCCTGAATAAACCCCAATGGTTGAATAGTATTAATAAAAACCCTACACTTAAATTAGACAAAAATAGTGAAACATTATGTGATTGTAGAAACCCAGAAGACTGCCCATTGGAAAATAAATGCTGCGTAAAATCTGTGGTATACCAATGTACTATCTCATCCTTTGAGAGTCCTAATACTAATATAATATACATTGGGTCTACGAAGAATGAATTTAAAACCAGATGGAGGCAGCATGTGCTCTTTCAACATTATAAATAAAAGAAATCAGACATCTCTATGTAAATATTTTTGGCATTTGAAGGAAATGAATAAAACACCAAAAGTAAAATGGAAAATTATAAACAAAACTAGAACTTGTAAAACTTGGGATGACCCATGCCCTTTATGCCTACATGAAAAACTACACATTATTAAGTTTCTAAATAATGAAAATTTATTAAGCAATAGACATGAGTTAACGGTTTTTTGCCGACATCATCAAATTTTCGCATTGAATAATTAGCATAAAAAACAAACAAACAATAAAATTCAAATTTTGAACTCCATAGTCTAAATAAAAAGTTTAAAAGGCCTAACAAAAAAAATACCTTTATGAAATCATCAAAAAGCAAATGTTAGCGAATTTTTTTATATACACAAAACCTTTTCAGGAAAAAAATAAAATAAAATAAAAATTAAATAAATCTCCATAGACACTTAACCAGACTAGACGATCTCATCTTCCGCTTTAAATTTAGACACCCCAACCTTACCCTGACTTGACATCTGTGAATGTAACTGAGATATTGATACAAATTATTAACCCTTTCTTTAAACAATTGCTCTAGCCGTTACCATAGTAAGTTTAATTTTAATAATGAATATGCTTATAAAACGCGTAAATTTCAGGAATTAGTTATTTCAAAAAAAAAAAAAATCACTTGAAGTTGGAACAAAGCTTGGTACTTTAATTCAATTTAATTCAAATAATTATATTGAAGTTTTCGGCTCTTGTTTTGAAACATGAGAACTCTTATGTAGCCTTGGAATCATATTTTTAAATAAATAAATATATATATATATATATATATATATATATATATATATATATATAAAAGATATGTTCCTCTTTCTCTCTCTTCACTCTATATATCTGTCTCGCTCTGTTCGTATCTATCTATCTATCTATGTTCCTCTCTCTCTCTCTTCTCTCTTTCTCTCTCTCCATATATATATATATATATATATATATAGACACCTAGTGAGCCAGACAAACCTACCTAGGTTTCACCTAAACGGATCGTCAGGGAAAGTTTGGCTAACGAGGCAAAGAGAAACACATATTTATAGGTGATAGCTAAAATCATACCACGTGACAAAATAAAAAAAAACCCAAAAAACACCAAAAAAACCAAAAAAACAAAAACAACCTAAGTGGGGGGGGGAATATTTATTCAAAAAAAAAAAAACCTCAGTGACCACTTATATATTCCCCCCACCCAACACTTAGGTTGTTTTTTGTTTTTTTGGTTCTTTTGGTGTTTTTGGGGGGTGGGTTTTGTAGGTAGGTTTGTCTGGCTCACTAGGTGTATCTAGGTCTGCTCTACGGTTGTATTGAGCCCTTTTTTTGTTAGTTAGTTGTTTACTCGTATCGGGTTTTTTTCTTTGGGCTTCAGACCTGCATCTGTGCGATTTTTTTGTCGACAGAAGTTCATGTTTGTAGCTCTTTCTTTTTTAAAACCTTTTTTTCCCTCGAGATTGATTTGATTAGCAAATCAAAATTCGAGGGTTTTTCGAAACGTCTAGTCTAGTATATATATATTTATATATATATATATATATATATATCGGTCTCTTCGTATCTATCTATCTATCTGTGTTCTCTCTCTCTCTCTCATTGTCTCTCTCTTCTGTCTTTCTCTATCTCGGTCTATTCGTATCTATCTATCTATCTATCTATCTATCTATCTATCTATCTAAGGTATGTTTCTCTTTCTCTCTTTCTCTTATCTCTCACTTCTCTCTCTATTTCGGTATGTTCGTATCTATCTATCTATCAAAATACAAGGTTGGTATGGTTGGAATAAACTTCCAGTAACCAAAAACACTATTTTAAAAAAGTGCTAAACACAAAGTAGAGCAAATAATATTTATTTAAAAATTATAACATCAGTATGTCATAACATCACTACAAAAATAACCATTTTGTTTCAACACTTCTAGTGTCTTGTCAAGTGATGGTGTCGCAAGTAAAATAAAAAGTATTAAAGAGTTCAAAAACCAACCACTACACCCACTGGGGGGGGGAATATTACCATTACTTTATTAGTATATAATGGTCCACCCAAAATTTATCTGATTTATTCAACTTTAAAATCGCCATGTTTTACCGTCTATTCAGTATAATTAGCATCGTATATAGATGTTCCGCATTTTTAATTTTACTCATTGACCCCTTTAAGAAGCTTCCTGAATATAAAAAAAATTCAAAGAATTTATGTCTACTTCAATAAATTAGAAAATTACTTGGCTACAACCACAATACATTTGTTGCTGCCATGTTTCCTACGATCGTTGGATGGCATGAACAAGCGTCAGTTTATCCTGACATGAAAAATAATCCACCTCCACCCTCTATTTTTCTATTTGTTATGGAGTGGTTTCACAGTGGAGGCCTGTATTTGTACTAAGTCGGTCCTAAAATAGGTTCGACGTACAAAACGTTAGGAACTTCATATAATAGGTAATGACGCAGAGAAATCTAGTTGTGGTCGCTGATACTTTAGTATCCGACGAACGGTCGTCCGGCATCGACTGTCTTACCGACCCACTGAGCGACTCCTCGTTACTCTTACTACACCTACTTATTATAGGTGGGAGAGTCTATTAACTATAGAATAGGTGTGTTCCACTATAACACTATTTTAGCGAAGATCTGAGTTTTAATTGGTTAATCTAGAAATACCCACAAGTATATTTTTAATTTTGAACTTATGTCCCTACCTTTAACTTCCGAAGAGGAGTAACAATTTGTTAATCGACCATCGCCTGATGAAGTACAATAAGAGTATTGAAACATGAAAACTTTTGTGTAGCGATGTAAAATATTTTTTATTATAATGTATTATAATAAAAAAATGCTCTATTTGTATTGAGCAATTTTTATAAAAAGTAAATACTATGAACTGTGGATTTTTACAGCATCTACTTTTACTCTCTCTCATATATATATATATATATATATATATATATATATATATATATATATATATATATATATATATAGTTTTAAGTTGAGCTATAAGGTGTGCTATATTTATGGGATAAAGTGCTCAATATCAGAGATAGCCACTCCCACAAAAAATAACCGCCAGAATAGATTACCCACAATGTACCCCTGACCCAAATATACAAATAGTCGAGGAAAACCCCAACATTCACGGCCTGAGTATAGCGCCTAGAATGAAATAGGCTGTCGCCTCTGAGTGTTGGATCCAATGTTCATTTATATATATATATATATATATATATATATATATGGTAGACTCTGCCGTCGTCTTCGACGTATGAGGATCAAGCAACTTAGTTCCTATGAAGCAACAGCCCAGACACCAGCACATATGATTTGATTATAGTAGTGAAGGCTGTCTACAGAATCAACCACACATTTTGAAGGGCCGAATACAGAGACCTGGTGCACTACGTGCCACAAGGTCCCAAAACGACCCTGGGAGGATTTTGAAATCAGAGTTTTCCTTTTCCTAGACCAGTTGCCATCCAAGGTTATATAGAGCCCAATCTGTCCTGCTATTTGCCCATAGCATGGGGGGAAAAAGAGGATTATACCAAGGGTATTAACATGTAAATTGATTCGACTGAAATTCGAACTCGGCTCTCCGATTCCGCAATCCGAGCCGCAATCCACTTTATATATATATATATATATATATGTGTGTGTGTGTGTGTGTGTGTGTGTGTGTGTGTGTAAAAAAAAGAAAGAACAATAAGATATATAATCCTGTGTTCTTATTGATATTTTTTTTTTACAAAATAGTGCTCAATGTAAATTTACAGAGCATTAATATATATATATATATATATATATATATATATATATATATATATATATATATAAAATGAACATTGAAGCCAAAACTTAGAGGTGACAAGCTGTTTCATGCTAGACGCAGTCGTCATTCCACGAGTGTTGTTTTTTTTCTCATGCGTCTAGCATGAAACAACCTGTCGCCTCTAAGTGTTGATTTCAATGTTCACTTTTATATTTACACACTCTCTATCTATCATATTGAGAACTTTATCCCATAAATATAGCACACCTTTTAGAGTATATTTCTCAATATATATATATATATATATATATATATATATATATATATATATATATATATATATATATATATATATATATATATATATATTTTTTTACCTTTATTTATCATATATATATATATATATATATAAATAAGGGTAAAGAATATATATATATATTTTTTTTATTTATCATATATATATATATATATATATATATATATATATATACATGATAAATAAAGGTAAAAATATATATATATATATGTATGATAAATAAAGAGCACTTTATCCCATAAATATAGCACACCTTAAGAGAATATTTCTTCATATATATATATATATATACATATATGTGTGTGTGTGTGTGTGTGTGTGTGTATATATATATATATATATATATATATATATATATAAATAAATATAAAGAATATATATATATATATAAAGATAAAGATATAAAAATATATATATAAAATCATATATATATATATATATATATATATATATATATATATATATATATACATGAATAATAAAAAAAATATATATATATATATATATTCTTTATCTTATTTATTGCTATTCATCCACATTCACATATTAATGTACATGCTAACACCTCCTCCTCTTCCCTCAGTATTTATCATCCCATAATACTCAATCAGAATCCCCACCGCCTTTGCGTTTAGGTCAACGAAACCTGGAACTTCTAGGGAAAATAGTCAGCACTACATATCAGACTGGTCTTGTGGGTTCCGGTGAAAAGGTGAATATAAACTATCCGACGGAAAAGAAAGAGGAATTCAGGTTTCTTCTCGCCAGCCATGTTGGAACACTTCCTCTTCGTCCGAGACTTTCCGTATGGTTTCGTATATTTCAACAATTAATGTCAGCAGCAATCGTTCCTTCGTTTCAACTTTTAATTAATTCTTGCCTACGAAGCCATCTTCCGTGTCTATTGCTCGAAGTTTGTCTATGTGAAGATTAAAGTTTAAGTATCTGCCGTTTAAAGTTGAATTATTAGAGGTCTGAAGTTGAAATATTATTTTTTTTAATCGCTATCGCCCCAAGCAAGGCAATAAAGCCACTAAGACACAAGGGGTTGTAGGGTATGCGAGAATTAGGAACAGAAACATTAATAACGTGCGAGAAAAAGAAAAGTGTAATCAGGAGAACAGTAGATAGAGATTGACATTGTATATAAATTTTTGCAGATTAAAGTTGGCAGGAAATCATGGAGCTGGAATGGAGTTCCAAAAGTAAGGCTTTAATGCCACTAAGACACAAGGGGTTACAGGGTGTGAAAGAATTAAGAACAGAAACATTAATAATGAGCGGGAAGAGGAAAGAGTAATCAGGAGGACATTAGATTGGAAATGCATTTAAATTTTTGCAGATTCAAGTTGGCTGGAAATCATGGAGCTGGAAGGGAGTTCCAAAAGCAAGGCTTTAATGCCACTAAGACACAAGGGGTTACAGGGTGTGGAAGAATTAAGAACAGAAACACTAATAATGAGCTGGAAGAGGAAAGAGTAATCAAAACGACATTAGATAGTGATTGGCATTGTATTTAAATTTTGAAGATTAAAGTTGGTTGGAAAGCATGGAGTTGGAAGGGAGTTCCACAAGCAATGCAGTAAGGACACTAAGACACAAGGGGTTACAGGGTGTGGAAGAATCAGGAACAGAAACATTAATGATGAGCATAAAAATGAGAGAGTAATAAGGTGGACAGTAGATTGCGATTGGCATTGCATTTAAATAAAATACTACTAACTGAAAACCCGACCAGGGACCAGAATTTTAAGCTTTTTCTGGTGAAATGATCCCAGCGAATGATCCCAGATTTACTTAATCTATTTCTGAACGCGTCTTTCTTTTTATTCTGTAATGTCGGAGGGAGTTAGAAGACACCGAGGGAAACCCCATCAAAGGGTCCAACATCTAAATAGATCCTAGCAGACGCAGCTATACACCAAATTTTGACACTAGTGCAAAAGACCTATGTGTGTTTTAGTGATTCACATATAAATTGGACTTATACAGGGTGTCCCAAAATATTTGGCCTTATTTGGCAGGCCAATAATTTTGGCAATTCTTGTTGGAATAACGTCAAATCTTCATAGAATACATAGAAACAGATCAAGATTTTATATTTAATGTTTTATTTTTGTTATCTTAATGAGAATCTGCCAGAGAGATCGAGTGAAGACAGTTTTCTGATGAATTGGCCGCCGCGGTTACCGGACCTGTCCCCGTGTGATTTCTTTTTATGGGGATATGTGAAGGGACAGGACTATGTCCCCGATTCTTCCTGCTAGCATTGATGAACACAAGCAGAGAATCACTTCCGCACTGGATAATGTTACCAGAGATATGCTTCACCGTGTTTGACAAGAGCTTAACTAGTGACTTGACGTGTGCCGTGTTACAGACGGTGCATATATTGAACATTTATGAAATCGATTCCATAATAAACTTATGATGTTTAACACATAAACTGTTCAATTTCATTGAGCTAGAATTAGTAGTTTTCAAGATAATTGCTTATAAAATTATGTCAAATTCTTTGGGACACCTTGTATATCTGGAAACACACCCTTAAGGGATACAGAAAAAGATCAAGATTTTATATTTAATGTGTTATTTTTGTTATCTAAATGAGAATCTGACAGAGAGATGGATCGGGCGTGGTGGAGATAAAGACAGTTTTCTGATGAAATGACCGCCGCGGTCACCGGACCTATCCCGGTGTGATTTCTTTTTATGGGGATATGTGAAAGGACTGCTCTATATCCCCCTTTGACAATATCTTAAACCGAAACTCTCAGACTCATTTAAACCGGACTTTTACTTTAATGTAAACCGGCAGCTCACTGTTTTTTAAACCGGACTTATATATATCGTTTTTACTTTAGTGTAAAAACAGGCCTGCATGTGTAACTTTCGCTGGTTGACTGCATTTTAATCGAGCTTGTGCAAAATAGACCGTCTCTTCATATCTATGGACATATCAAATGCTAATGTCAATCGACATTAAATCATATTCTGTATTCTTTCCTGAAACACCTCTTTAGTTTCCAATGTAAACGTCCAGACTTCGCTCGCTCCTCGCTGCTTCGTTCGGGTGTCGCCGTGACGTCCGCCTCTTCTCGTCCTGTGACGACCAACTGGCTTGGTTTTCGCAGCACCGTGGTTCTAAACTGTGATTCGGATGGGACGAGCTAGCCTCGTCGTTTTCGCTGGTTGCAGGACTGCATGGATTTAATCGTTAGGGCCGTAATAGTTGGGTTCCGAGGGTGGGCAAATATGGAAATAAAATATCTCGGTTCAAGGTATCAAAGAAAAGGATAACAATACTTTATGTCTTTACTGGATACATAGGACTGTCCGGACCCGTTATATGGATTGTGACACGTTGTTTTTTGTTAGGCGAGTTTTAACACTTTAAGTTGTCTGTTTTTAAGAAATTGGTTCTTGGTGTGTCTTTCAGGCGAAAGTCCAGTCTCTTCAAAATAAATTGTTCTTGGATTGAAGACGAGTTCGGAAGTTGCGCGAATCTTAGTTGCGAGGCCTGCTTCAACTGAACACCGTCTGCTGAAACTCCCCTGATTTTCGCTCGCTGCGACTTTGCTTATATGGTCGCCGACCAAAACCAGGGTGGGTTTGTCGGGGTCGGAGGTTCCTCGATAATTCTAAATACATACCCAAATATTCTATTTTTGAATTTTCCACTTCTTTCCATTTTTGGGAGTCACCATAATGTACCCAATCGACATCTGATACCTTGAGCTTGATTGCTTTGTTTAGGTGCCTAAAAAAAAATTATCTTTTTCTTTTCTGTAATTCTCATTTTCTCTGAGAACAATGCGACCTGATAACCTCTATTTCATTCTCAGATTTTCGCTAATCATCAGAATGGGTGGTCGTCCAGCAAAAACACAATCGACCGTCGTCTGAAAAAAACAGTTTCATTGTTCTAGTCATTCCTGGTGCCAATTTTGATAACATAGGCACTAACACCTATAGATGTCTTGTTGCCGTTTGGGTTGGCTTAAAGTGCCTTGAGAAAAAAAATTTTTCTTATCTATCCAAAGCCCTGTAAACCTGTTCGCCAATTATCAAATTAACATTATCAATTGAGATTCGGTCTGTGGTTTGCTAAAGATGTTTGCCCGCATTAACTGTTATGAAGTTCGTCAGAACATTGATTCCTTAGATTTTTCTGCAAGTGAGGAATTTGATCAAAAAACATTTCAAATGTTCGTGGGTGGTTTCTTTTTCATCATCTAAAGTCTCGCCTCTCTTTCCTTTCTCTTTTCCTTTCTTTTCTTTTTGCCCTGGTAAATGGTGCCACAGTAACCCCTTGTGTGCTTGTGGTACTTCCGACTTGCTTGGGATAAATTGCCTTGAGAAAAAAAAAATTCTGGATTCGGAGTGAAAATATATTTACCATGAGTCCCAGCTTGCCCAGATTCTCGTGAGGAATTGATCCTAAAAACGTTTAGAATGTTCGAAACGATCGTTTCCATTTTTAGGTGGGAATCAGATTCCGAATGCAATATGTCAGAATTCAGTTAGAATAAAATACATTGAAAATAAAGAAAGCCTTAACTAAAGGCTTTATTCTAACAAAATCTGTTAATTACATGCATTTATTTCTGACAATACAGAAATTGTGGCACATGGCCATGGGGAGAGAATATGGAGGGGATTGTCTTCTTTAGCTATCCTAGCCCTAGTTAATCCGACTCGACGATTTATTCATAACAATTTACTCATTTACCACAAGAAATTATCCATCATCTCTCAATCCTACATACAGCAAATAACACATATTTGCAGGGGACCTACAAAACACTCCATGACATAAACATTCCAAAGTCCATATAGTCCAATATATATAAAAATTTTACGATTCATAAGATGATTGGGAAGGGGAGATAAATCCAGAAAACAACTAAAAACATAAACCAAAGTTAAAACTAAAAGAAATGTTAGTAGGAACCGCCCACCCCTCAAAATAATAAGAGAGGCCGCTGTATTCTGGCACTAGACAGAATCAAGAAGCACACTCACTAATGGAATGGGGAGGGTAAAAATAAATGACGGGATGGGAAACGCAAGGGTGACCCAACCGAGATAAAAACAGGGGGCTACAACAAACTAAGACGATTGGGAATCTCGATATGTGTGTGTGACGGTAAAGGCCGTGAACAAAATTAAGAAAAGGTTGACAAGAAACAGTTGCATCAAGGGGTCTTAGAAGAGAAAATCAAGGAACATGAACAAAACGGTAGTTCAGATTGCCGCCCGGAATTTCGTTCCTGGTAGGGCCATTAACAGGTCTGACACACACGGAAAGGGTTGAAAACAAGAAACTGGTCGTTCCCTCTGCGTCTGTGGGAATCAAGGGTTATTCGAGTAAGCCTGGGTACCCTTCTCTTTATCCCAAGAATCTTATCCTCATCTTCTTCTTCATAACAGGAAGAACCGGCTCAATCCGCCCAGGGTGAATGCCGCATCAGTACAGTAGTACAGTAGTACACGAACCAGGCTCGCCTCAGTCACCCACCTTTCGCTGAAATCCCGTCAAAATTAAATGCTTTCTATCAGATTTGATTCTTACCTTGCTTAAAAAAAAACAACCAGATCCTTATACAAATAACGTATATTTCGTACGATTCCCTCCTTTCGCTACATCCACAAAATCTGCTAATTACAAAACTCGAAAAAAAATACTGCTATGTAAAAGTCAAACGCACGATCGGAATAGACCACTCCAGACAGCAGCGGCAAGGGTAAATGTACTACAGTCAAATAAAAGGAAAGCACCCTTCTTGTTGATATTGCTGTCTTCACAGATGAGGCGTGGACTAAAATGAATGATGTGAGTTACGTCAGGTTCCTCGTGAATGATTTTTTCTAAATTCGGCAAACATGGGTAAACGTAGTTGCAAAAAGACGTGTCAAGAGGACGGTTTTTTCTCATGACAACGCTTTTTTTAATTATCTTCGCAAAAGTTTAATATTTGAAAAGCGATGGTTAGAATTGTAATAAAGCCTAAATATATAATGAAAGTGCTTTTTTTCGTTTTTTTCTTGAGAATTTACAACAAATATATTCGACTGCAAATCATCAAGTGAATGTGAACAATACTTTCCTTACCTGCATAGTATGGGCTTCGTCAAGGCTACATACAGTTGTTGATATTGCTCTCTGCACAGATAGGGCGTGGAATAAAATGAATGCTCTGAGTTACGTCATGAATGCTTGGATCTAAATTCGGCTACCATAGGTAAACGTGGTCTCAAAAAGACGTAGTGTCAAGTAGGCGGTTTTTCTCAGAACCCTTTTTTTTTTTTAACAATCTTCACTCTTCGGTAATGTTTTAAAAAGCGATGTTTAGAATTGGTATAAAGCCTAAACATATAATGAAAGTATTGTTTTTGTTTTTTTTCTTGAGAATTTACAACAAATATATTCGACTGTAGATCATCAAGTCAATGTGAATAATACCTTACCTGAATAATATGTGCTTCGCCATGGCTACATACGTTTGTTGATATTGCACTCTACACCGATGAGGACTAAAATGAATGATGTGAGTTACGTCAGGTTCTTCATGAATGCTTTTATCTAAATTCGGCAAACATGGATAAACGTAGTCGCAAAAAGACGTAGTGTCAAGAGGACGGTTTTTCTCATGAAAACGCTTCTTTTTTTTTTTTTTTTTAGCTATCTTCACTCTTCGGAAAGTTTAATGTTTGAAAAGCGACGATTAGAATTGTAATAAAGCTCAACCATATAATGAAAATTTTCTTTTCTGTTCTTGAGAATTTACAACAAAAATATTCTACTGTAGTTGGCATTATCAAGTCAATGCGAATAATTTTATTCCTTAGCTTCATAATAAGTGTTTCACTGGGGCTATACACAGTTTTGAAATTATAGATTTTCTTTCACCTTGACCGGTTGCCACCCAAGGCTCTAGAACCAAGTCTGTTCTACTATTTACAATAATTCAAGGGAGAAGAGCTGGATTCATAACTATAACCACTATTCATTTATTAGATTCGTATTTACAAGGATATTTTTATATTTACATTCTAAAAGCTCATACAATTAGAACTAATGCAATGCATTATTTAACTTCACTCTTCGGCAATAATTATTGTTTTAAAAAGCGATGATTAGAATTGGAATAAAACCTAAACATATGATGAAAGTGAATTTATTTTTTGTTCTTGAGAATTTAGACCAAAAATGAAAGGCTCTTTGTGCATTTAAATCAAGCACATTGGGAATAAATATCGTAAAATATTTTATCTCCACCCACACGGCCTATATATCTTTTATAAATTAAAATTTTTTTTATAGAATTTTCGGTTAATTTGCAGTGTAACACCCGCACTCGGTTAGCATTAAAAATCTCCAAAATACTTATATATATGTGTAATTGTACATGCTCCATTCGAATCTGGCTTAATAAATTTGATAACAACTACCGTTTTGTTGTTATCGACAGTGAAATTTCGGATTCATTCGCGTCGCAGGCAGCCATTACTGGCGTTGTTTGTATTCATTCACTGCAGAATAGCTATCAGTATAGCTATCATTGCGCAAACTGAGCGTGTCTACGTAAATAGTTCTCGTGCGCAGTATTTGAGACACATTTCGACAAGAAAGATCAGTTCCGAGCTTAGCTTTCTGTAGTCTTCCCCGTTTAGCTTTCTGAAGCGAATGTATGCATACAACGCAAGTAATGGCTGCCGCCAAAGACGTGAATGAATCCGAACTTTTACTGACGATAACTCCAAAACGGTAGATTTTATCATATTTATGAAGCCAGATTCGAATGCAGCATGTAAGTATTCTGGAATTTTTTTAATGCGAACTAAGCGCTGGTGATACACTGCAAATTAACCAAATTTTTCTCTGGAATATATGCGTGCATAAAACCGAATTACGTTATCGAGACGTGAACATTTATCGACCACAGGTCGCCATTGCTCATACTACAAATATAAACGTAATACAGTTTTTTTTTTTTTTTAATTTTGTATGATCAAGAAATATCATAGTAATCAGGCTTTTAACTATTGCTTTCTGCCAAGGATCTATTGTTAATACGGTGTGTACGTTATACAGACAAAGAAATAAATAGAAACTTTAATATTTTTATAGATATCTCTCCGTTATAATTGCATTTTTAAGCTCAACGAATGTCCATGGCGTTAATATAGTTCAAAATATTAAACAAATAAAACAATCTTACTACTCAAAATTACCAATTATTTTCTTATTTATTCTTCTTTCTTTTTTTCTTTATTTCTCTCATATTTTCTTTTCTTTTTTTTTACGCAACTGTTTTCCAAAAACACCGCTCGCTTTTAAATGTATTAAACTCCAGTAATTTACTAATTCTGTTAGGCGTTAAGATATTTAGCCCCCCCACGAGGGTGTCATGTGGCACAAAGGCCTTTTAACGTGGGCATTCCTGAGCCATTAGGCTCGGCCAAAAAAAAAATAGCCCATTTGAATTCTGTTAGGCGTTAATGATACATGTTGTAATGATACATACATACATACATACATATATATATATATATATATATATATATATATATATATATATATATATATATATATATATATATGTGTGTGTGTGTGTGTACGCACAGAGAGAGAGAGAGATGACAACAAACGGAGATAGATAGATAGATAGATAGATAGATAGATAGATAGATAGATAGATGAAAAATGGAGATAGATAGAAAGGACATAGATAGATAGATAGATAGATAGATAGATAGATAGATAGATAGATAGATAGATATGAAAGTACGGAGATAGCTAGCTAGATAGATAAATAGATATGAAAGGACGGAGATAGATAGATAGATAGATAGATAGATAGATAGATAGATAGATAGATAGATAGATAGATATGAGGAGACTGAGATAGATATGAAGAGACTGACATAGCTAGCTAGCTAGCGAGATAGATAGATATGAATGGATGGAGATAGATAGATAGATAGATAGATAGATAGATAGATAGATAGATATGAACAGACTGATATAGATATGAACAGACTGAGATAGATAGGCAGATAGATAGATAGACAGACAGACAGATATATATGAAAGGACGGAGATAGATAGATAGATAGATAGATAGATAGTATCTCTACCTGTTGGGATCTCCGACTTGTCTATCAAATCTGACATAGTCTGGTAGAATATTTTGGACAGCAGGAAAGCTCTTAAGCAACGGCATATATTTCTTCATTCATCTGAATGTACTGCACCTTTTAAATCGTTCCACCGCACGAATCCTTTCAGGAAACAATCATCGAGTAGCCAAGAAATGCAGAAAGAAATAATCTATTTTTCCCATTGCACAATGCACTTGAGAGACAATCCCTTTCGCCCTCGTCCCAGGTGACCAAAAACTTGCTTCTTTTTATAACGGGCAAGTAATTAAAACGAACAGATTTTCAAATTGCAGTGACAGATCGCCCATTAGACGATTAACATGTTTCCCTTTTGGCTGTGAGCTTTTTTTTTTTCTTTTTCTCTTCCGTCCCTTTTTTTAAATTTATTTATTTAATTCTTACTTCACCGATACGTTCCTGCTTCCTTGAAATTTACTAAATATATGCTGACAGCCAGGGTCAAAGATAGCAGCAGTGCGCTTCCGGGCTGAGTCCATTCAGAATCATCATGGAAGTCCCTTTGCCTATCTGTGTGAAGGAAAAGGACGTTTACTGCTTTTTCCTTTTTCTTTTTTTTTTTTTACCCTTTTCATTTTGTCTTTGTATACATTTACGAGTTACACATCTGCAGATGTCGGAACTAATTATTTCTTATACTCGGGTCGATCTGGACTGTTTAAATGTCACATAAAATATGAATCTTTTTATTCATTCTCCTTTTTGCATATGCCAGCGCCCGGAAGCAAATTCATCTGCTGTGTCGCGCTCACTGTCGGGCTACTGACAGGAATCCATTTAGCTAAGACCGATGTCAGCAACTACAGAAATTTTCTTACGTAGGAATGAACAAAAATTTGGTTAATATTATTTTTGACAATTTTTTGCTTCATTAAGGATAACTGGTTTATAATCCTTTCTGAGGGCCATATTTTTAATCATTTATTACGCTATAAATATAGCACTCCGTAAGCCATAAATATAGCATACCATAAAACTATATTTCTCGTATAAGAACTGTGAATGTCTGGAAAACCGGATGACAAAATCGCTGCAACTAAAAGAAAGAAAAAAAAGTATAAAAACAATAAAGAGAGAGTATCAAGTGACATGAAAAACGAAGAAAAATAAAAATAACCACGGCATTCTAAACGTACGCGCATACGTACTCTTGCGCATGAGCACACAGGCGCACGCACACACAGACACAGGAAAAATCAGACTTGCATATATAAATGAAAAATATATAAACACTCAATTGTTGTCACCCCTGACGAGTGGACAGAGTGATTACTGTCTACAAAACTCTGGAGCCGAGATTCTGAAGATAATACCAATCAGCTAAGTAACAAAATTTATATTTGTATTAATTCTCTCTCTCTCTCTCTCTCTCTCTCTCGAGAGAGAGAGAGAGAGAGAGAGAGAGAAAGAGAGAGAGAGAATAGAAAATAATGACATAATCAAGATGTTGATATTCCAAGGTACTTCAAACAAAAGGTTAGGAAGGAAATCCCCATCAATACTGGAAAGAGTGATAACAGCTACTGGGCTTGAGAATAGAAAATAATGACATAATCAAGATGTTGATATTCAACACTACTTCAAACAAAATGTTAGGAAGGAAACTTCCATCAATACTGGAAAGAGTGATAACAGCTACTGGGCTTGAGAATAGAAAATAATGACATAATTAGATGTTGATATTCCACACTACTTTAAACAAAAGGTTAGAAAGGAAACCTCTATTAATACTGGAAAGAGTGATAACAGCTATTGGGCTTGAGAATAGAAAATAGTGACATAATCAAGATGTTGATATTCCACACTACTTCAAACAAAAGGTGAGGAGGAATCCTCCATCAATAGTGGAAAGAGTGATAATAGCTACTCTGCTTGAGAATAGAAAATAATGACATAATCAAGATGTTGATATTCCACACGACTTCAAACAAAAGGTTAGGAAGGAAATACCCATCAATACTGGAAAGAGTGATAACAGCTACTAGGCTTGAGAATAGAAAATAATGACATAATTAGATGTTGATATTCCACACTACTTTAAACAAAAGGTTCGGAAGGAAATCCCCATCAATACGGGAAAGAGTGATAACAGTAGATTTGAGAAATCTATTTTGTTGAAAAATTGTTTTTAAAAATATTTTATAAATTTTCACTGTCTGTTCGGCCGGTGAATGCCGAGTGAGATGAGGAAAACATATACTACACTTTGATCCCAGTTCGATGGTAAAAGCGTAACTCGTCTAACGCTGGGTGTTGGGTCAAGGAATCCGGAACGTTTCCTCCTAAGGAAACTGATATTACTTTTTACATTAGATACGAGAACAACAGATATTAACTTAATATTTTGTTATAAAGTTAATATGATAGCTTAAGTTTAAAACAAAACAAACAAATGGCAAAATTCAGGAAGAAGATATGGATTCAAAGTCAAAAATCCCAATGCGCATAAAACCGCTAGAAATCAACCGTACCGTCCAAAAGTCACACTCTAGGGAACTGAGCTCTAGCCTGTTCGTTACTGTCGAACTCTCTGCCTTGAGCAGAGAGGAACCCGCCCGGGGTGATAGACAGGCCTTGAACCGGTTTATACGGGTTCTAAGGGAATATTTTTGGCCAAGCCTACGGGCTCGGATAAATCACAGTAAACTCGGCCTTGTCCCACTTACCTCTCTTGTGGGTGGGGGCAGTTAATTATTAACAGTGATACAGAGTGTTCGTTACTGTCGATCTCTCTGCTTTGAGCAGAGAGGAACCCGAACGAGGCTCTGCCGAAGGGCAAAGTTTCGTCCGGGGAGATTGTCAGACCCGGAACGTTTATGCGTTCTACGGGAATATTTTTGGCCAAGCCTACGGGCTCGGAGAAATCACAGTAAACTCGGACTTGTCCCACATACATCTCTCTTGGGTGGCGGCTGTTAAATATTGACAGTGACTTAGAGTGTTCGTTACTGTCGAACTCTCTGCTTTGAGAAAAAAGGAACCCGGACGAGGCTTTGCCGAAGGGTTAAGTTTCGTTCGGAGAGGTTGACAGACGCGGACCGTTTATGCGCGTTCTACAGGAATATTTTTGGCCGAGCATATGGAGAACCCACGGTGAACTCGGCCTTGTGCCACATAAATCACTCGTTGGGGAGGGCTGTTAAATATTAAGTCACACTCCAAAACATCCCGACCGTATCCAAAAAAGTAGCTTCACACATGCGTAGTGGGGCGATTGCAAATGGCCGCTTCTAGCGAAAACGTATGATATCGTCGCTTCCTCGCGACGTCATCCATGTTACATTTACATGTCAAACAGATACATATCCTCTTTGGCCGTCGTGTTAAGTGTATTCTCTCATTACATATTTACTTGTCGCCGCAGGCTGGCAGGATATGATAGTAGGTCAGTTTAATGTGCGGTACTCGACTTCGTCCATCCAGGCCAGGTCCACAAATACCCCATCCCCAGCAACCGTTTGTTATGATAACCCCCTCCTTTTTAGTGCAGAGAGGAATGTAATCCTTGCCGGAAGAAGTTCTTCGGAACCGTGCAGCTCTTAATATTTTTCCAGTTGCTCTCTACCCGCAGACAACTGAGAGATAAGAGATGTAGTTTGACCCCGCCGAAGGCAGATGGTTCACTTTGATCCCAGCACAATGGTCAACAAGCGAAGAAAAGCGTTACTCGAGCAGCAGTGACTGTCGTTTGTTACCTTATAAGGAACCGGCTAACGTTCGTATTACCATGACAATAAAATGAACAGAAATTTTATATAAATACAAACGAGATTAAGGCACAAGGCCGAAAAGGGGGAATGGGTCGAGGCTGATCTTCACTAATCTATCTTATACTTAGCTAATCGGATTTACGATCCATTAACTCGTTATAATTTCCACATTCGTAATAAAAACTCCTCCGTCGTCAATCAGTCATTCATACACCATAATACCACATCCTCACGGGTGGGTGGGTGGAGGTTGCTTAAAAAAACATCCCAATAAGATGATAAAAATTATTTACTATATATATATATATATATATATATATATATACAAATCGGATGAATGATCATGAAAAGGGATGGGTGAACCCCAAAACAAAGCAAAAATAAACGTAACTGATATAAATACTCTCAGTGTTATAAAAAAGTTAAAATTCACATTTAACTGCTGTGTGTCATAAAAGACGCACATTATGATTCACTTATTACACGGTATAAAATGAAGAAAAAGTTTATATTTTTTTACACTACGTCATAAAAGGGCGACCAAATTTTAAGAAATGTCTGTTATTTCTTTTGTTGAAGAATACCGGCTTTTTTTTTTCGCCTCATGTCAAACGTTGCGGTTACCATTTGTTGAAGGATGTTATTAACATGACCACACGATTTATATTTAACATAAAATATCACAAAATATGAAACACAAGAAGGAATAAAAACGGTTTTTATAAAAACAAACATTTATATTTATTTTTGTGTAATGATATACATGCGTAGAAATTAATATTTTTTGATATTTAAATATATATATATATATATATATATATATATATATATATATATATATATATATATATATATATATATATTTATCTGAGCTCACAAAAGTTGAATGTTTTATAAAGCTGAGAAATGCTGAATAAACTGTAGCTTTAGAAAAGTATTTCAAAGAGAAAAGTGTTTGTTGCTTTTTTTAAAATGTTTCTATTGTAGTTTTGAAAATTTTCGTACGTATGTGCATGCGTGAATATACTTTTAAATTTTGACCGCACGTGGTCGAGACGGAAATCCTCAAGGTCACATCTTCGCCCGAAATGGGAAGGAGAAGAAGAGAATGAGCAAGTGTTCGTGTCTGCTATTTATAATTATAACCACGTGACTGGATCCACTTGTGTGTTTATTGACCAATTAGAATCTGATATTTCCAGAAAATATTTACTCAGCTGAGTAGGCTCTCTGATTCACTTTTCGCACAAAATTGTACAAAATTCAACATTGATAAGAAAGTCGT